CTCTGCCACAAGCTATCTCCCCAGCCTCTTGTGTTTTGAGACAGTCTCATGTAGCCCAGGCTTGCCTCAAACTCAAGATCTTGCATTCTCAGACTCACACTTGATGGATTTTTATTAAACTATCAAATCACCAAACCATTCCACAGTAAATTGTATGAATGCCCAATAAATAGTTATTGGATAAATTATCAGATACTCACAGGACTGAGCAAGACAATTGAATTTGATGACTGTTAAGATTGCTGGCAACCCTCAAAAGCAGCCTGAATTTACAAATGAGACAGAATTCAGGCTATAGAAACTTAGGAGCAACTGAGCAAGACAATGAAGAAGAGAGGCTGGATAGACAAACTGACAGGCTACAGCAGCAGTGTCAAGAGAAAGTTACTTATTTTCATTTTGCTGTTCTTTGTCTTTACTGTCACTCCCCTATACTGGGAAGACAAAAAAAAAATAAAAATGATAGAAACAAGATATATTCATAGAAATATAGCTGAGGGCACTTAAAAATGTCAACAAAGGGGTAAGATGAGCAGAAACATCATACAGGACTGGTTAACATAAGCATGACCATGCATCACTTGGAAATATTTGAACCTATGAATAAAGATGATGATGGGTTAAAATCCACTACACCTGGTTAGGGGCAACAAATAAAAGAGAACTATGTGGCACTCAAAAGTGAAGGAAAGACACTCAAGAGAGGGAGTCATCAAAATCCAGTAACTTGGCACCTTTAAAAAGTAAACTCTAAGGGAGATAGAGGTATTTCTCTTCTTTTTTTGTTTGTTGTTTTTTTCTGGGGACAGTGTTTTGTTTTTTTCAAGACAAGGTTTCTCTGTGCAGCCTTGGCTGTTCTGGACTCACTTTGTAGACCAGGCTGGCCTTGAACTCACAGAGATCCACCCACTTCTGCCTCCCTGAGTGCTGGGATTGAAGGTTGCACCACCACACCCGGCTGAGATATTTCCAGAATAAATGAAACTAACATAAACTGACCGAGCCCAGTAAGCAACTCTGAATTCCGACTTGGAGAAGGAGGTGAAAAATTAAACACTAGATATTAAATCACATGAACTATCATGTATGAAGCAAATGTAGTTGTAGTAACTGTGGTTATGCTTCTTCATCTGCAGGGCAGCAGAGCAGTCCTACCAGAGAGAGAGGATCTTGAGATGAAGGCCAGCCTGGGCTACATGGCAAGCTCCTACCTTGAGGTGTAGGGTAAAACTGAATGTCCAAAAGTAGGTTAAAAAAAAAATGAATAATCTACCCTGGTTTGAGACACGTTAACTGTAGGTTCTATGCCAAAGAAATATTCATGCAAGCATAACATGAAGACAGGATATCGTTCCTGAGAAAAGAATGTACTTCAAGGGGAAGTCATTCAGTTTTCTTCAATAAATTCCCAAGTGCCTCAGAGAGAGAGCAAAGAGACCCTGAGAAAAAGCTAGGTAGGTAAGCGACAGGACTAAGTGTTCGGAAGAGTTAAGCATTCTAATTTCTGATTATGTACGAGTGCTCAGTCTGCATGTACACCTCCTGCCAGAAGAGGGCATCAGATCCCTTTATAGATGATCATGAGCCGCCTTGCTGGGAATTAAACTCAGGACCTCCGGAAGATCAGCCAGAACTCTGAGCCGCTGAACCATCTCAACAACCAAAGCATTAGAGATCTTAAGAAATAGACTCGTTGGGCTGGAAAGATGGCTCAGAGGTTAAGAGTACTGTCTGCTTTCCCAGAGGTCCTGAGTTCAATTCCCAGTACCCACATGGTGGCTCAGAACCATCTATAATGGGATCTGATGCCCTCTCCTGTCATGTAGGCATACATGCAAATAGAGTACTCATATAAGTAATGTAAAATAAATAAATGAATAAATAAACTCGTGCTTATTTGTGTTAGATTATACAACCGTCAGAATTCGGACGAAATTCTTTGGATTCGATACATCCCAGTGACTAAAATGTTGAACTATAGGGGTCTCTTTTCCATCTAGCCTCAGCACTAGGGTCCTTTTTTTTTTTTTTTTTCCAGGTACGTACATATAAAACATTACACCAAAAAGGACAAGCATACGTGTATATATATGTGTATATATACATATATGTACATATATGTACTCATATACAAACACACCAGTTATTTGTGTTTTGTCAAGAGTCCGCTCAGAAAAGGAAGAGCATTGTGCCGCGGGAGGGCTGCAGGGGCCTTGGTCAGGCTGTCCCAGAGGGGGCGGCCCCACGAGCCAGGCCGGCCGAGCCCGACAACCTCCCTTCCGCTCCCCGCGACGACGCCAGGCAGGGCCAGCCCGTTGCCACGCCGCCAGACCGACACCCAGACAACCGAGGCCGGCTTCCGCGCCGCTGCCCGGCGGGCTCCCTCGGGAGCTCCGCGCCCCAAACCCCGTTTCCGGCCCGAGGGGAGGGCCGAAAGGAACGTGCACCAATCCTTACGTAGGCGTGGAGGACGCCTAGCCTTTGGGCCAATGAGAGAGCCGGTGCGCGCAGCCACGGGCGCGGCTCGCTCCGGGATTTAAACTCGAACGGCGGACGGTTAACGACTGCGCCGGGCCTGTGCGGCTGCGCGAGGCGGGAGCGGTGCTCCGCGGAGAGCGACGGCGGGACGGACCGTGCGGCGGCGGCTGGTGACGTGCGCGGAGCCGGGGCGGCGGACCTTTGCTAGGACGGGGTGCGGCGGAGGCCGGGGCTTCTTCCCCGCTACGCGTGGGTTCGCGTTTCCTCCCTGGGCCAGGCTCTGTGTTCAAGGTAAACCCCGGCGTGCGCTGCCCGGGGCGTCTTGACCCGGCTGCAGGGGCAGAGGCCCCCCGAGCCCTCCCAGGTCACAATGTGCACCCTGTCTGCGCCACTTTTAGCCCAACGGCCAAGCGGGCGGACGGAGTCCTCGGGCCAGCGCGGAGGCTGGGGACGGGGACGGGTCCGGGTCCCCAGGGAAGGAGCCGAGCCCGGCACGCCCGCGGCCAGATGGTGCGGCCGCTGTCGTTATTGTTGGAAGAGCAGGAAAGTCGCCCCGCGTTTGGGTTCCACCTTTCGTGGATTCATGGCCACAACCAGCCGTCCTTTGTGTTTGCTTAAGATTTAGGATAGCGGTTAAAACTGAAGGAGCCGCTCTGGGTTGTCCTACCCCAGGTAAAGAGAGAAAAGTCTTATAAAAGCTGTACAATAATACTGCAAACAAAAATAGGGACCTTTCAAGTTTCTTAGGTTTTTCAGTACACAGTGCTGACGCAAGTGAATAAATTAAAGCACTCCAATGTGTGTATCGAGGTAATCAGTTTTTTTAGAGGGCATTTTGTCATTTGGCTTAGAAATTACACCATAATTTCAGTTATATCCAAATCGAGGGATTTAAAAGGTTAAAAATTCCACCCGCCTCTGGCCAGGAATGGTGGCCTACGCCTTTAATCCTAGTGCTTAGGAAGCAAAGACAGACAGATCTTTCTAAGTTCGAGTCCAGACTAGTCTATAGAGTGAGTTGTAGGACAGCCAAGGCTGATACTTTTAGAAACCCTGCCTCAAAAAACAGGCGCGCGCACACACACACACAGAGAACACCCTCTGAATCCTTTTGAGCTGTAACTAGGTGTAATGAAATTTTTAAGAAAAATTGGTGTTTTTGTCAATATTAACCATATTTTTTCACAAAATATAAGATTGTTTAGCTTCTAAGTTTCTCTAGCATGAGATTGTCGTGTTTATTAGAAAGCAAAGGAACTGACCATAACCTGTAGACATTAGGAAAAGTCGCATTTCACTTTATAAGCATCTACATATTTGAGGGGTAAAAATGAAGGGGGCACAGTTTGAACACAAAGGAATGAGACTTTTATCACTCTCTTGTAAGAATGACATTAAAAATTGTCTTGTTTTAGTCCAGAATCGCCCCAGGCCAACTCCAGAAGAGATAAACACATGCATGCACACACACACTTCAATTAAAATTTAAAAACCTATTGAAATAGTTCCACTTTTTAAATGAAGAAATTAAGCTTTGAGCCCTACTTTACATTTTTTTCTAACATTCAGTCGTACCTTGGTGTTTGTATAAATATTACCCCTCTGAAGTAATTCTGTAAAAATACATTTAGGAGCTTCTCATTTGCTTCTTCTGAGTTGATTGACTACTAAAGATAAGGTCACTGAACCTATTCTCTTTAATATTCATACCCAGGCAACCTCTTGAAAGGATTTCATTCAAACTCTTGCTTTTATAGACTCCTAGTGTATAATACCCCTTAGTCAGGGCTTTATTTTCCTAATGAACTATTGCTTTGAAGTTGACTTTTTAAATAACAATATCTCTTAAAGTCAGTTTTTCTTTTCTAGGTTTCCTTTTTGTTAACGTAAATACTTCAGTCAAGGCAAATCAAAATAAGGTAAGAAATTGCTCTAGTAGAGGATCATAGCTGAGATGCAAGCACCCAGCGGATAGCTCACAAGAGCCTCTAATCCAGCTTCAAGGAATCTAAAGAGGCTCCTCAACCTCTGCAGATACCCACGTGTGCACACGCACATACACACAAATAGTTAAGAATTTTTAAAATTAAAGGACAAAAGTAGTCCTTTTCAGAATGTTAAATTGACAAGAAATCTTACTTTGTGTCACTGTTCTCCAGCCTCCTCTGCTAGGATATGAAAGCTATTATGTTGTACCACTTCTGCACAAGTTTGTTGTTGTTGTTTTTTTTCAAGACAGTTTCTCTGTATAGCCTTGGCTGTCCTGGACTCACTTTGTAAATCAGGTCTCAAACTCAGAGATCCACCTGGATAACTTCACTTTTCTTAAGTTCTTTTATCTTCTAAACCTGGAATTCTTTTCTTGAAGTCTTTGATTCTATACTCTACCCCTACGAGCACTTAGGCAGCACCAGACTACCTTAAATATTGTTTCTAACTGTTCAGTCAGGTGTTCCTTACATTTAGCAGCTTCAGGAGTGCTAAATGTGAATAACACTACTGCAGTGACAGTTACTAATAAGTTGAATTTAAGTTGTTTTGCGGTGGTATTTATTGTTACAAAGAATTTTGTACATTTGAATAATATTAGCATTTATAAATATTAGCAATGCTTTTGCTACATAATTTTCTTGCTTTTACAACTGCTTGGTGGTCCCTGAAGATAACGACTGTGACAAACTGTTTTACCTAAATTAAGCTTTTGTCAATTTTCAAGTATACTAAGTATGTGCTAATTTCCAACTCTGCAAACAACTTTATTTTCCACCTTAGAATCAAAGCCTTTTCTACTTTGGTTGTTCAGAGTTTCTAATAGCCCTGGCTAGTCTTGAACTCACTGTTTTGAAGATATGACCTTGAATTCCTGATCCTGTCTCCACCCAAAGGTTGGTTAGTTGGCTCAAACCCCCACCGCAAAACTAGGACACACCTGTCCTAGTTTTGCAAAGGTGAACCTTTCAGAACTCGGTCAACAAGAACCAAAAGTATTTTTACATCTCTAAAGGTCATAAGACTAGTGCAACATAACATTTTTTTTTTTTCAGAACTTAAAAAAACTCTTACCCTTAGAAAGTTTGCCACTTTTCTTTGCACTTGGCTGCCCCATTAAAAACATGTGCTACATTGAGCTAGGTAGATTCCAGGTAGCTTCATACCTGGCACTGAACCATCAACCTAATCTTTAATTGATGGAATTTGGTACTTCTACATTCTTAAAAAGTAAGACACTAAAGCAAAAATCTTTCACATTAGTGGTTATCACATTTGCCTTGAAAAAGAACAACAAATAGTATTTGTGAGACCAGGTTTTGATGAATTTAAATGCAAAGCACAGATTTCCAGGAGCATATAAGTGACAAGTGCTTTTTGCTTCTTTCACTTCATAATTCTTTTGGACAGGGATTAGAGAATATTTAGACCCTTTACTATTTAAGAAGCTGTAAGGACTTTTTAAGAATCAGTCATTAGAATTTTAGCTTGTTGCACCCTAGATCCCAGTAAAGATCTTAGCTTCCTGGGATTATACAATGCTGTTAATTTCTGCATCTATTATACAGACTCTCTTGGTTGGATTCTCTAAAACAGTATTTTCTTCTGTGTCAGCACAGTCCCTTTTGGCTTTTGTTGCTTCCTTATGGAGTAACTGTGGGTGTTCAAGGCGTCCTCTTCGTACAAAATGCTGGATCCGGGATTCCAGTCCTTGGCATTTAGGACGATCCATGAGGGGCTTATATGTGCGCATTTTCACTCCTTCTACAAAGGCACTGGTATGCTTTATGACAGAAGGCTTAATGTTTCTCCATTCTGTTGCTTCATCCATCTTTGTTCCTGCCCTACATGTTACCATAACAGAGTCTAGTCCTTGCAGCATACTATATAGCATGTGAGTTTTAACAGCATGATTAGCCCATAGCTGCTGTAGGTGGGTAACATTGAACTCCTGAACCTCGTGATCATAAATCCACTTGGTATTTTCAAATTTACAGTCATACAAGACTAGAGGAAATTCAACAGCCATGCTAAAGAGAAACAAGTATGAAAATATGTATCAGTTAGCCAGTACTTTTTAAAAAAAAAAAAATACTGAGCTTTAGTTGAGATTAAGGGGGCAGGGAAGATCTACTAATGTCAGTGGTAACATCTAAGAAAATATAACACTGTCTTAATCTGGAGCAACTTTATAACTCCTCCTTTTTTAAAAAAGAAGGAAAGTAAATGTCAGTGGTACCATTGCCACGACATGGGTTGATAGAGCTCCCCATGATACCAGAAATTTTAAAACATGTTATTTATCCATGTTTGTTCATAGCATTCTCAATACCTCAGAATGAACTACTGGTGTCTGTTTAGCCAGAGCCTGTTCACAAAAGAAAAACCTTTTCTACCTTCCCTGTAATTTCAGAAGCTGGGAAATAGGAGTGGGTCCAAATATCTATTTCCTCACTAATGAGAAAGAGAAAACTAGTAGGTAACACCCCTCTTAAATGTTCATAACATTCTACAAATTAGGAGTTTATGAAGCTCCCTGGGGATATGGCTCAGTGGTTAAGAGTACTAGCTACTCTTCCAGGGGATCTAGGTTCAATTCTCAGTACCCACTTAGTGACATACAACCTTTTTTTGGCCTCTGTAGTTACTAGACACACAAGGGGTGCGCAGACTTAGCATGCAGGTGAAACTCATACACTTAAGTATAAAGTTTAATGAGGGCAGAGTTATTTCAATGGTGGAAGGAATGAGGATATACTAATGTTTGCTTAACTTACCTATATTGAGGTTTCTGGGGATTTTTCTCTATGTTCAGCAGTTCATCAATAATCTCTGGCTTCTCCATTCCTTGGCCAATCAGGAAGAGGATAGCCATCATACACCGAACCTGATGATACAGGAATGCCTGGCCAGTCACTTCAAATTGGCATAACTGGAAAGGTTCTTGGCTTCTCTCCTCACCCAGGCTCTGGACTAGTTGCACTTGTGCAGACAGAATAGTCCTCTGAAAATTAATCACTCCATTGGCTACATCCATTTTACACAAATTTCTGAAATCATGAGTACCAACATATTTCTGAGCCGCATAATTCATGGTAACAATATCTAAATCAGCACGAGGGAAAAAATAACGGTAAGTCCGCTCAAGACAGCTAAACCTAGCACTAAAGTTAGGCTCTACAGGGGCCCATGCCAATACTCGGATGTCTGCAGGAAGCACCCGATTGAGAATGTGGGTATAACAGATCTCTTCAGCAACATCGTCAGCTTCATCTTTTAAATTAGAATCTTCTGAGTTCTTGCCATTTGGGAACTGAGAACGTAGGTCCAGAGAAATCACCTGTGGAATTAAGAGAAACTATATCAAAGATGATCTTAAGGCTCGGTATGTGCATTCAGATGTCCTGTTATTAATGTCTCTGAGAAACAATATACTGGCCCTTACCTGTCCAAAGGCACTAACTCCTTTGTCTGTTCGGCCACACCGGTGATAGTTAGAGGTCTGTCTGCTTTCTACTAGTCGGGTCTTGGTTAAAGCCTCAAACAATTTCTCTTCAATGGTATTGCTTGTGTTTTCCTGACTGGCAAAACCCTGGTATCCCCAGCCTAGATAGGCTATTTTTAGGGCAACATGTCTTCGCCCATGAGCACTAAAATCAAATGCACGCTTAGCTTTTCCAGAGCCTAAAGAATTTTCTCTGATACTTAAATTTTTTATGGTGTTGGCCTGTTCTTTCTTAAGTCTTTCCACCTCCTGCTCCAATTCCTTTACTCTCTTTTGGAGTTTCTCAATCTGGTTTCTGTCTGTGTTTTCAGCCATGACAGCCCCAGAAAGAAATCATGCAGATCCGCCTGTAGAAAACACAGTGAAATGATGATTAATCAGTGTCAGAGCTGCTTCCTTGGTGATGTCAGTGTCACATGATTAAATATCTAAGCTGAGCATGGTAATGCAAATTTAGAGTCCTAGTACTTGGGAGAGAGACTCTGTCTGGCTAACTAATAAAGGAAAAGGGAAAACCCTCACCTTTTAACTTTCTAAATTTAGGAAAATTCCTCAGTTTCTCTATTTCTCACTAATCAAGATGACTAAGGATTCATGTTGGCTGTTTTTTTTTTTTCCCCAATAGCATTTCCTCTTGATTTCTTAGTATATCTGTCCAGTACTTTTAATGGTAAGATTTATGTGGGCTACTTGTGACTCCTGTTTCTATTTGATATAATATTTCAAGTAAACGGCCTATATGTTATCTGATGTTCTGTTTTTTCTTAAAGGTGGCACAACAGAAGCTATCTTATTAATTGAAGAAATACTATCAATGATTATATTTCCCATTAGGACTAAAACCTGGAGACAAAGTTTTCTTACTTTAAACAGTTTTAATGGCAGAAAAAAGGTAGTAATTACTTTTATTTTTTTTTTTACAACCAAATTTCATGTTTATAAACGACTTCTATCATAGTTACAAGAATTAATCCTACATAATTTGGATCTGGTAGTTGAAGTCAAACTAAAATTAGTACAAGAAATACAGAAAAGTGCCTTTTTTGGTGGTGGTGGTGGTGGTGGTGGTGGTGGTTTTTCAAGACAGGGTTTCTCTATGTAACAGAGCCCTGGCTGTCTTGGAACTGTAGACCAGGCTGGCTCAAACTCACAGAGATCTGCCTGCGTCTGCCTCCCTAGTGCTAGGATTAAAGTTGGCCTTTGCTTATATTGTTATCAGAGAATAATACTCTAGGGAAACAACACTAGGAGTTGAACTTAGAGCCTCCTGTATGCTAGGCAATCACTCATGTCACTGAGCTGAATCCCTAGGAGAAAGGCATTTCTAAGTAAAACAATACAGAAACCCAAGAACTGTAGGAGAAAGAAAAGTGACTACCTAGGTATAAATTTAAAAGGTAAACAACAAACAAAACTTGGGGGTGTAGCAAAATAGTAGAACATCTGCCTAACTTACGCAAGGCCTAGGTTTGATTTTAAATGTTAACAAACTGAAAAGTAAATGAGCAAAGACCAGACATTCCATGCAAAAATAGGAAAGCTTAGGAAAATATGTTCAAGTATATGAGAACAGTTGTGGAATAGTCTAGAAGGATGAGAAAGTTTGATAGTAAATAACTATGGAGGAGTAGAAAACTTTAGAGGTAATTCCATTCTGGAAATTTAACCCATGCTATATGCATATGACTAGATTATGTCAATTAGGGACTAGATAAATTTGACAAAACTTAGGTAAGTTTTCATATACTGACAGCTAAAATGCCACAACTCTCCTTAAATTATGAGAGGTCTTGCACCATGTTCCTTTATAGCATGAAAAGTTTGAAATGTGGAAAATGCAGTTTTCTAGATAGAAATTTCTTCAGGGAGGGGAAAAATCCTTGTTTAAAATTACATGCATAATTTTCAATTTCAAGAGAAAAAGAATAGGGAAACAATGTAGCAGGCAATTAGATACCTACCTTAAATCCAATCAGGAAACTAACCACTGGATATTTTCATTAGAACAGATTATCTTGGGAGTATATCCATTTGTGTGTGTGCGCGTGTGCGCGCGCGCCCCATAATGTTACTTTTTGATGTTAAGGTTATATCTCTTAAGAGTAAAAGCAAATAAACAGTCTGATTCAGAGTGTCTGCGCTACATCCAGCTACACTGTTTACGATGATCAGTTAAGATCTTGAAGCTTCCTATGAAAATGAACTAATCCTAAAATGAAAGGATTATGTGGATTAATAAACACATAAGAGTATGGCCATATACAAAAGCATCCTCTAAATATGTTATATAATGTCCATTAAGCATCATGTAAAGTTAAAAGACATATGCAGAACTCAGCCCTTATGGGAACCACTAAATGTGACAAGGAATAGAAAGTGTAAGAAGAGTGGAAATAAAAGCAAGAAATAGACATATCCCCACTACAAAACTATTTGCCATTTTCCGTTTGCATATAAGATTGAGACAAGAAAACTAACCAGTGTTATCTCTTACAGAGAGCCTTATAGTGTAGAGGAAGCAATGGAGCAACTGATAGCACCTGGTGGACAAAAATGGGTCAATATGGATCCAGAAGAACGGATGTTAGCTGCAGCTACAGCTTTTACACATATCTGTGCAGGGCAGGGTGAAGGAGATACAAGAAGAGAGGCCCAGGCTGCCCAGTATGATCCCTACAGTAAAGCCACAATAACACCAGGAAAGAGACCTGGTCTTCCTGTGCAACTGCACTACCCACATACAGGAGGCCATTCATCAACAGTTTCAGAGGCTTCCCACAAATGGAGAAAGCCAGTGATGAAGAGAAAGGTGCTACGAAGAAAGCCAGATGGGGAAGTACTAGTGACAGATGAGTCTGTTATCAGTGAATCTGAATCTGGTGCAGAAAGTGATGTAGATCTCTGGGACTTGAGACACAGGCTAATGAACCTGCAATTCCAAGGAGACACAGAATCCCCAGTTGACACTTCACAAAAATTTAACTTGCCATGTGAATACCAAGGGATTTCACAAGATCAGCTCATTTGCTATCTACAAAGAGAAGAAATGGGCCCTCCCGTTTATGAACAAGACTTGATTGTTGCTAGCAGACCCAAGTCCTTTATACTCCCCAGACTGGATCAGTTAAGCCGAAACCGTGGAAAGATAGACCGAGTAGCCAGATATTTTGAGTACAAAAGGGATTGGGATTCAATGCGGTTTCCTGGTGAAGATCATAGGAAGGAGTTGCGCTGGAATGTACGAGAACAAATGCTTTCCCGAACAGAACCCCAGTCCAAGCCTCAACATGTATATGTTCCAAACAACTACCTAGTGCCAACTGAGAAGAAAAGATCTGCCCTCCGTTGGGGTGTCCGTTGTGACCTTGCAAATGGTGTCATGCCCAAGAAGCTTCCTTTTCCTCTTTCTCCTTCTTAAGTCTTTTTTTTTTTTAAAGAAAAAAGAAAAAACCTCTCTCCCCTTCCACAGGATTTAGTGATAACCTAGATCTTTATCTCTTCTAAATACAACTGACTTGAAAAGCCTACAGAACATAGACTAAGGACTTCACTGGTTCTTCCTAGGTTTGCTATGCCACATAGGTATCATACAGCACTTTCATTGCTAAATTGCCCCTCTTAAATACAACAATTGAAAGGCAGAAAAACTACCTGAAATTTGGATTTTGTCAAAGTTATGCCATTTTTGAAAAGACTTGTAAACCGTGGTGGTTCTTTTAAATTTAGTGGGTATTAAGCTCATCTATTAAAGAATTTTAGAAAAATACTTGTTGAACCTTGTTTTTAAGTATCTTCCCAATGTAAGGAGGACCTATGATCTAGGTCAGGATTCTCTGAACATCTAATGATACTCAAATTTTTCACATAAAGACCTGACATGAAGACAGACACAAAATGACTTAGACTATCTGGGTACAGATCTTGATAATTCAGTAAGAAATATCTAAAAACCAGAGTTGTTTATCTCAAGCACTAAATTAAGGCTTGAAAGCTGGCATGAGTGCTTTTTTAAGAAGGAAAAACAATATAAATATATCGGTTTGGCAATCACTAGCTGCGAAAACATACTTTTCCAAACTTGATGCGACAGATAGAATACACTTCCCCAGATCCACCCACTGGTAGAAATATCAGGAAGAAAATCAGTGGCTCAGCTACTTCCTGTGGGTACATTCACTCCAAGTAAAAACTGCAAACTTGGTGGTATGCCTGAGCCAAGATTATTGCACAGATGCCTGGGAATGAATGCAAGTGATACTGACTGGTAAGTCAAACAGCAAGATCTGCCATACACGCAGAGTATGGGGAAGAATTAAAACTTAACTCTAGGTGCAGGATTAAAAGTATTTCAGCTTTTCAAAACACTTGCCCTTTAAAAAAAAAAAAAAAAGTTGTGGTTTTACCTTTTGCTGGACCTCAAAGTTCAAATCACCAAAATTAAAAAGGTTTTTCAAGGTAAGGTTTTCTCTGCTGAAGAAGTGAGCTGATTCAAATCAGATTAAGGATAAAGGTAGTTTTGTTTTTTTTAAACTACAATGTATTAACTTTGTATCCCAGCTCCCTCATTTCCTCCCATGCCCCTCCCCAAGTGCGCTGCTGATAGGAGAGGTCCTCCTTCCCTTACAGATGACCCTAGTCTATTAGGTCTCACCAGGACTGGCTGCACTGTCTTCCTCAGCGGTCTGGAAAGGCTGCCTGTCAGGAGGAGGTGATCAAAGAGCCAGACACTTGAGTTCCTATCAGGTACAGGCCCTCTTCGATAAAGGCAGCTTAACTGGGTAGGTTAATTGGGGCAGGTTCACTGGTTCCCAAAGAACAAGGCCAGGGAAGTCACCATGGAGAGGGAGAAGAGAAAGTTCATGGTGGAGGTCAGGGTATACCAGCCATGCCCTGGGACTGAGGTATGCTGGAAGAACCTGGAGGCCAGGTGTATTTTCTATGTTAAATATCAGCTCAGCCACTTGTCCTGGGTCTGAGACCCAACAGTAAGTATCCCAGTTTAGTTCTTCATAAGCATGAACTGGGCCAGATCAATCCAGTCACCAGGCGGACTTATTTAAAAAAAAAAAAAAAAACTCTAGGCCCAGTCCTGTTTGTGTCAGCACACTAGGTTTCTAATCAGTGTGGTGATAAATTTACAAAGACAGGTACGTGGCGGTGGCCAAACACCCAAAAAGGGATTCCTGGGTGCAGTAAGCATCCACCCTAAAATAGCCCCAAATGTACGAAACTAAAATGTGTGGATACACAATTCCTCGTGAAAAAGGGTTGAGGATGCGCTACGATCATTAACTCTAGAAAGTATTGTGTAAAGCAAAAAATCAAAATAAACTAATTCCCGCCACGTCTTCCTCCCATACCATCTTTAATGAACTGCTACTGTTTGTATTTTAAGCAATTCTGACACAGCAGAGGCCTTCTAAGCTAAGAACCGCTGGTGGGACTTTCTTAGCTCCAAGAAGTCCCAGGCAAGACACGACACGCGCTGTCCTAATCCCACCTCAAACACTGGCGCCCTCCTGAAGCACCTAACTACAGGGGCAGAGGTAGCCGTTCAGCCTCCCTCCATTTGCTCAATTCCCCTCTGGAACTCAAGCTTCCCACCTGAGAGAGTCCAAACTTACCTTCCGGTCTTCACCTCGCGGTCCAGCTACTAGCCGGAAGCCGTGGCTTCGGGTCTCCAGTGAGCATGCGCGGCCTCCCTGGAGGCACGCTTGTGGTTCTGGGAAATGTAGTTGTTGGCCCGAGTGTCGGCTTTAAGCCAAAGCCCACCGCATGCGCAGGTTTCTGATGCAGCCTCCTCTTTACCCTAAGGAACAATCAATACAAGAACAAATGTTGAAATTATAGTTCTGGTCTAAAATGAGAGAAGTTTTCAAATGCTGGCTATCGTATGTGAAACTAAGAGATTGAAGATCCTGTCCCAATCCTGTTTAATTAACAGAAATTTAACATTGAGAGTAAATATATATATAACAATATAATTACAATACAATATATTACTATATATATATTGCAATATAAATGCAAAGGCTAAAGGGAAATACTATCGCCTGAAAAATGACTGAAAGATTGTGAAGAACAGGGCCAAGGAATTCTGTTTCAGCACCACGGAGAGATCATGGCCTCAGTTTTGATTTTCTATTTTTGCCAATTCTAGAAATGTTGCCCAACTCTTAAAATTCCAGGAGGAAAACTGAAAATTCTGGTTATTTGGCCCAAACTTAGCGTAAGGGATCTACCCCCAGAGCTGTGCAGTATATGTCATAGGTAGTGGTGGTCCGGATTGCTTTAAAAAGAGACCACGCCTTAGAACAAAAAATAAAATACGTGTGTATGCGGGCACATCACATTTATCTAGGACCGAGACGAAAGTCTGCACTTGAATTTGCTTTCTTTCCGAACCTCTGGGCAAGCCCATCTGTCCCTCCACTGTCCACTGCAATCCCACACCTTGTGATGCCCGAGCGAGGCTGTCCGGGGAGACACCTGCACGAGAGCCTGCAGCGCAGAGTGGGTACCGCCTCCGTGCCCATTTTCTCTCGGATGTGGGGATGGCCGGCTAGCCAAACGGAAAGCTCGCGGGTGTCCCGCACAGCTGCGCCCCGCACCTCTCTCCCTCCGCCCGCTCTGTGCCGGGCCCGCGCCTGCGCACTGCGCCGTGCCACGGGTGGTCGCGAGGCGGACGTCGGTCCCGGAGCCTGACCATTGGCCACTGAGCCGAGCCGGCGCTGCCCCGCGCAGGGGAGGCAGCACGTGCCGGGGGCGAGAGCGGAGACCACAGCTATGGCGTCGTTACTTTGGGGAGGCGACGCTGGGGCGGCGGAGAGCGAGCGGCTGAACTGCCACGTAACTGCCGCTGTGCAGGGGAGGGCCCGGGGGCGGGGGCTAGAAAAGGGACTCCCCAGGAAGTCCCCTGGGGGATGGGGAACGCTGGGGTGGCTTATGGAGTGGGGTGTCAAGGGATAAGGGGGAGGTGTGGGCTGGGTGGAAGGGCCACGGAAAAGGATACTCCTGGAGAAGATCGGCCTTTGATTTGAAAGGGCAGAGACCCCTGGAAATCCACAGGGAAAACACAGCTGCTAGTCCTAGCACTACTGTTTTCTCTCTCCTGGTTTTGACCATTTAGCAGGCTTCTCATCTTTATAGCTACCCTCCCCTTGTAGACGTAAACCATCCATCACCCAGGTACTGCCCATATTCAGACTAAGAGACCCTATAAAGAGAGACCATGGAAACTGCCGTCCTATTAGATGATAATTCATACAGTACACTGATTCCTGAAATGAAATCATTACTCCCTAACATTGCAAAGGAAGCTTGGGGTGGTCTTCCCTGCCCTCGCTGTAGGATAGCACCAGGCTTCCTGCTTGATGTCCTGCTTCCTAACATTGGTTGAAATTTGTGCCTTTCAATAGTTTTCAAATCTCGTCCACCCCAGGAAGAACCTTCGTGGTATTAGGAGTACCACAGTCCCAAACATAGGTGAGTGCTGTTAGGCTAAAGCAAACTAATTTAATTAAACACCTTTGCTTTCCTCATGTCTTTGCCAGCTGAAATAGCTTTGGCTTCCTTAATTTGCGTTCAAGACCGTCCACCTCCTCAGTCGCTTTACTCTCCCAGGAGATGGCTCTGTCTGCATACACTGTAGAATCTGAGAAATTTTAAGCGCGCACTGTATATTTTTGCTCAACATTTATCTTTACAATTACTATTTCTCTTTTACCTTTTAGATGGCTCTCTTAACACGGAAGAAGATGATGATGAAGATGATGTAGGTAGGAAGCAAGTTTGTTTGCATGTACCTACAAAGCATTGGTTTATCATCACTTAACGGTGTTAATGAATAGGATTTTGTTGAAAACAAAAAAGATCTTTGTTTTCTTTCTGAATGAATACTATCAGAAAAATTAGGAGGGGGTATATTTCTTTAGACTAAGCTGAAATGGAAACTGCAAGGAGTGGATTAAGAATTTTCAGTTTGGCAAGGAAGAACTACGTCCTGTTGGAATAAAATGTTAATTTGTTCAAGGTCAAGGGTTAGTGCAACAGAGCATAAGAAACTGGATCTTATAAAAGGGGGGGGGGGGAATTCTCAGTGCTGTGGCATTCCTTCTAGAACTTTCTTTTAGAAGGAAGATGAGAATAAGTTGCAGTTGTTTTAGTCTGCTGCTGAATGGGAGATAACAATTAGATGCTATTCTGGAGGCTTGATGGCCCCTTTTGGTTTTGCTTTTCTAGTGGATTTGGCAGCCAATTCACTCTTAAACAAATTAATCCGTCAGTCCTTAGTAGAATCCAGCCACCGAGTGGAAGTCTTACAGAAGGATCCCAGCTCTCCGCTCTACTCGGTGAAAACATTTGAGGAACTGCGGCTGTGAGTATCTTAACATTTAGTGTTTAAGAGTGCTTATGCTAGTAAGCATAAATAAGCTAGTATGCTGGTTCTAAAAACCATCAGCTTCCCCTTCATTTTCTAGTATGCAGTGTTAAAGTAGATCCTATCATTTTTACATGCAACTAAAATATAACTCAAGGAACACTTGGATACCCAAGTTGCCTGAGCACATTTTGGTAGGGAATATTTTAATCTTGCAGGAGTCAGGGGAATGCCCAGCCAAGCACAACCATGTTGTCAGTGTCCATATCAGAATCCAGACTCGTTGGTGACCAAAACATTGCCAAACCCTTACCACCTTTTAAGAAGTTACAAGCTTTTACTTTTCTAACCATAACTTATTTCAAACGGTATTAAAATGAGTAACTCTCTCAAGTGAGTTTTCATCTCCTAGGGATGAAATGGACATGAAGAAAATATAGTCTAACAAAAAGAAAAGGTGACAGATACATGTGGCCACACCAGGCTTATTTTGCTTGCCATGCACAGTAGGCAGATGAACCTGGTTATGTAGTAGTGTAGCCAACCAACCAAAAGGCAAATCTAGACACACCTTTTGTCAGTGCCTCAGGGTCCCCATTGTTTGAATTAAGAGCCTGTGAGTGAGTGTGACCAGTGAGTGTGACTGCTCATCCCAGGACTTGCTGTAGCTCAGTGTTGCTGATATTTAGCACAGTTTTACTTTGTAGTAGAGAAATGGCTTATGGATCTGAAAGATGTCTTAGTTGATTGTGGAGGCTTACATTCCTGTTTCTCATTTGGCCATTGTTGGCAGGGTCCCAAATATTTGGTTTCCAAGAGAAAAATGTGGTAACATATGAACTTATGTAAAGGAAAATATCCAACATCCTGATGCCCAGACATTTTCTAAGTGGTAGACAGGCCTATGATTAAAACATAACTGCCAATCGTCTACCAAGTGATATACCAAATTAAGTACATCCAAGTGTAGCAAACATAATGGTGTGTTCCTTTATTCCTAGCACTTGGGAGGCAGAGGGAGATGATCTCTGTGAGTCTGAGGCCAGCCTGTTCTACAGTGACAGTTCTAGGCCAGCTAAAGCTACACAGACCCTAACTTGAAAAAAAAAAAAAAAAAAAAAAAAAAAAGGAAAAAAAAGAAAAGAACGTCCAAATGTATGGGCAACTCATGAAAGGTGTAAACATTCCAGTCCACTTGTGCTGTTCTCATTCTGACATTTTGCAGAGGCAGAGGAGTACGGGAAAGATGCATTTAAAGTTCCTGCATCTGCTAGATGAGATTATAGTATACTGAATCTGAGATAAATGATAAAGGAATCACCTCACTTTTTTCTTTTCTGAATAATTCGGTCATTCATGAAAAGGAATTAAGCCAAAAATGTCACTTTGTTTCCCAATTTTATACAAAAATAACACTATCGTAAATGATTATATTCCTTTTATCAGATGAATGCTCATCCCCATCAAACCTGTAACAGAAGGTTTGGCTTTAGGCCTTTACAACTTCCCTTAATTTAGGCTTCTAGGCCAGCTTACAATTTCAGTAGTTCAGCTTAGAAGCATGATTGTATATAATTAGGGGACAGGGTTAAGGTGTAAATAATGTATTTCTAAGTTACCTTCAGTGCTTGTAGAGCTTTAATCTTCATTGCCAACTTCTCTGGGTTTGGAATGACCTAGATCACACACATCTCGGTGTGTCTCCGAGGGTGTTTCCAGTGAGATTTAGGTGAGGAGGAAAGAGCATCTTGTATGTGGGTGACACTGCCTCATGGGCTAGGGTCTCTGACTGAGTAAGATGTAGAAAAGGAGAAAGCAAGCTGAGCATCAGCATTGTCTCTCTGCTTTCTGACTACAGGCACAGTGAGACCAGCAACGTGCCCTCCCCGCCGTAATGGACTTTACCCCTTCTTAACCCCTGTCATAGAAAAGTGACAGTACTCAGTTGCAAAGTGGCTTACCTCAGAAGCTCACCTTTCAAGTGTGCATTTCTGAAGGCTACTGGCATGCATATTAATGAGGCTACCGACAAGCAGAGACCTTGTGTGACTGAGAATTCTATCTGTCTGCCTTACAGAAAAGAAGAGTTACTAAAAGGGATTTATGCAATGGGATTTAACAGACCATCCAAAATCCAAGAGATGGCCCTCCCTATGATGCTCGCACATCCGTGAGTTTACAGGGTAGTGGTCTTCCAAGTTGGTTCTTTTTGGCTTCTATTTATACCCAGGATCTTGTATTCAGTATACCTAGTTGTCTCCTCTTTTTCACAGTCCCCAGAACCTCATAGCACAGAGCCAGTCTGGAACGGGAAAAACAGCTGCCTTTGTCTTAGCAATGCTAAGCAGAGTGAATGCCTTGGAATTGTTTCCACAGGTAAGGAAGGGCTGTGCTGGAAACAATTGTAACTGCAATGCCAGAAATGTTTAAGCAACGCCTGGTCCTTCTGCAAATATGTGATTGCTGCAGATCATTGGGTAGAATATGGGAGAGTGATGCACAGCACTGGCCTTGGAGTCCAGCTGCCTCCAGTCCCAGCCTTGCCACCACTGCCCACCTAGCTGAGTGTTGGGAGGGGGTGGGAAAGTTAGTAAATCTCCCTGAGTCTGCTTCCCTTCTGTAAAGACAGCACTCCAAAGGCATGGATCAGCACTGATCTGCTCACACTTGACTTCTCACATCCAGCATAGTGCCTGGATTGTAGAGATGATTCATTAAGCATTGAATGATGAATGAATGAGTGAGTGAATGTTTTTGTCCTAAGGGCATCAGCAAAACCACATACATTTTTAGTGCTATGTTTGGGATAAGTAAGAATATAGTGATAATGGCTGCTTAGTTATAGGGCCAGAGGGCATTCAGTTTACCCCACTCACTTACCAGAGACCCTTGGAAGAAAAGTGTGTTCCTGCGGTCACACAGAGTGGTGGATCAAGGCACTCAGCTCACAGTTCTCCTGGCCTCATTTCGTTTCACAAAAAGAATCTGCTACTCTTTCCCTGTTTGCTCCAAAGCACACTCACCAAGTTCTTTCACAGGCTGACTTCCTATATATGCTAAAAGCCTTTCTCAGCAAGCTTCCAGTGAGCCCCAGAAACTATGGACACATGTGATGGAGGCCAAACACAAAGTGTACTTTCCAGATGAGGTCGCCGTGCTTGAGTCCATGTGTTGAAAATGTGTGGAAGCTATTTTGAGCACTTCTGTAGATACTGTAGATATTTCCACCACAGATACTGCACGTGCTGCAGTAAATGTCAGTTTCTTTAAGCAACATCTCCATTCAACAATCATGACTTCTATGGGAGGTGGCCTGGCAAATGGGAGTAGAGGCAGCATTATTCTGGCAGGATTACATATTTACAGTGCCGACTAAGCAGAGTATTCGGGAAACAGGCAGCTCTTAAGAGCAAGCAAGAGGTGGTAGGTATTGTACAAGCTATGATTTATCTTGCCTTCCTCGTGGATTCCCAGGTCCCTACATCCCTTTCTCTCTCCATCCAACGACAGTGACCAGTAACTTGTGTTTCTAAACAACCTTGTAGAGAAGAATATGTAAAGTGACTATTTCTTTGTCCTTCAGCGCCCCACATCTCTGAGTATTCACCCCAAACATATCAACTACTTATCAACTGTCAAATTATATTCAATTTAAAATGCTTGATTCAGCATAATTTTCTCATTTCTGTGTCTCCTCATGTGCAACATTTAATTGTGATTCAAACTGAACAGTGGCTTGTATGAACCTTCTTCCTCCTCTTCTATCTCACAGTGCCTCTGCCTGGCTCCTACCTATGAACTGGCTCTGCAGACTGGCCGTGTGGTTGAAAGGATGGGGAAATTCTGTGTGGATGTTGAAGTGATGTATGCCATTCGAGGAAATCGAAGTATGTACCAGTCAGCCTGTCTTGGCTACTTGTAAATCCTGGCTTCACACCTAATAAGGCTGCTATAACTTCTCTGCCTTCTCTAAAGTGGGGAAATGTTAGGAAAGGAAGCGATCCAGACTTAAGCACTGGCGCAGCCTGGAATGTGATGAGGACACAGCAAACAGTGTACTGTTTCCATATCTTGTAAGAGGATGTCTTTTTTTTGTACTCTGCTCTTTGAGACTTGGAGACCTTGTGCCAAACAAGTTTTTTTTTTTTTTTTAATTTTGGGAGGGGGGATTTTTTTCTCATTATAATATTACATGCTTAACATGGAAAAATGAAACTTTAAAGGATGGAAGATTAGGAGGTGGAAGTTTGCCCACCTTTGCCCTCCAGAGAAGGACAAAAAGCTCTTTGCTCTTCTTTGAGCTCATGTATATGCATGTTTGTTTCGTTGAGTGCTCACAAAATGAAAGCCTACCACACACCACCCTCTGAGAAGCTTCCCAGTACCCCATACTTTTTACATCTGGCCTATTAGCGAACATTCTTGTCACTTCCCATTTGGAAAGGCTTTTGCAATTTGGAGGGTTTTGTCTTGTTTGCAGGGAGCTGGAGAAAATCACTAGGGCAGTGTGCATGGTAAGTGAGTGCTTCCACCATAAGTGGATCTCGCTCAGGATGTGTCCTTCCTGTTGCTGAAATGGGGTGTCTCAGTTCCCAGGAGCAGACTGGCCAGGCCCTTCACCCCATCCAGTCAGTCTCCAGAGCATCTGGGAGCTCCCAGCCTGTACTGCCAGACCTAACTAGTTTCCACAGCTGTGCCATTAATCCATATCAGACTAGAAATTCCAAATGTGCTTTTTTTGTTGTTTGCTCTGCTTTTGGTTTTGGGGTTTTTGGTAGTGGTGATGGTGATGGGTAGTGGTTTTGGTTTTGGGTTGGTTGGTTGGTTGGTTGGTGTGTTGGTGTGAGATAGTGTCTCACTGTATTGCTCAGGCTGGTCTTAGATGAGCAAGTGAGCATCTATCTCACTGCAGCCTCCTGAGTGACCTACAGGATGCGACTATATCCAGTTTATCCAAGCATAGCTTTTCAAATGACCACAGAGCACAATCAAACATATAGGGCTGTTATTACTATAAACCTGGAACTCTGGCCTAAAATTCTGCAGATTCTAAATACACCCATGACCCTCAGGGCTTGTGCTGGAAAAATTATTCTCTTGCCACCAAGAAATATATCACCCTGGCTTGTGTCCTGTTAAGAGTGAGTGTGGCAGTTTATATCTACAAAAACACTTAAAACCCTTTTCTCTACAGTTCCTAGGGGCACTGAAGTCACCAAACAGATTATAATTGGTACTCCTGGGACTGTCCTAGATTGGTGTTTCAAGCGAAAATTGATTGATTTGACTAAGATTCGTGTGTTTGTCCTGGATGAAGCAGATGTGATGATCGACACCCAAGGATTCTCAGATCAGAGTATTCGTATCCAAAGGTAATCTTTACATTCATCCTTTCCTCCTGGACTTTTAGTCTAAATGATGAATTTTGTGTGTCTACTCTTCCTAATTACTTTCATTATTTAATTTCTTGCCCTTTTCACCTCTGATTTGACTTTGGGTTTTCATTACTTTCACCAGCTCAGGAAACCTTCAGACTGCTGTAACTCCTACCTTCATCCGGTGTGCTCACCTCTCTGCTTTACTTTTGCAGTGCAGGCTTCCAGGTGAAGTGTGTGTCCTGAGTGGCACCAGCTTTTTGCAGTCATGTTTTATATCCTGTGCAGAATCCTGAAGGAATCTGCTGAAGGCTGCCTTGAAGATGTGATAGCTAATGGGATAGAATAAAAAAACGCAGTTGTGTTGGAGCAGGTCTAGTCCTGTCTCTGCTTCTAATTTGTAAGTAAATCATACCATTTCTCCAGATTTCTCTATCAAGTCACCTGAAGGGCTTCAGATAACGCATTTCTGGACCCTTCCTCATACTCGCTCAGTTGTAATCTGTAATGAGAATTCTGGACTTTTGGTTTCTTAAAAAAACAAATATTATAAGAATATGTTTTGATTTTAATCCCAGCTATGGAGATATGTGGCTGCTTCGAAGCAGCTGACGATGATTTGCCTCGTGCTCTAGCAAAGGCATGGTTTTGCCAGCTGCAGATCATTCCTGTGATTGTGTAATGTTTGGAATTCTGGGAACTTTTCAGAGGCTATGTAAATGCTAGCACCCTGACCACCCAGGGCTGATGGTTGTTGGTTGTTCGGGGAGATTAGTTTTAGTTTGTTAGTAGTCACACTCAAGGAAGAAACAAGAAGAAAATAATGAGATTTGGAGCCCTCTACCTCTCTCCTTGCCTTCTCTTCTTTCTCTCCTGTCTTGTGATAGGGGTTAAAAACAGGGGAATGAAGGATGGGAAAAAGAGGAAACTGCAAAGTAGCTAAAGCAAGCTACAGGGATGGGGGGGGGGGGTTAGTTAGAAAATCTCCAGTGCTCTTTTTTTTTTCTTTTTTAATAAAGTAGTATTTACTCAACATTAAATTCAGTAGTAATGAAAGGCTTATACTGAAGCACAGTAATTCCTTGCCCTGCCCAGTCCTGAGAATATGCCTGTCTTTTCTGACAACAACCTCCATATCTTAAATAATATGTCATATCTTTAATATGCTCACATTACTGTTTCCTGAGACTTCCCAGGATAGAAAGCAGGCCTGCATTCTTTTAAACTACTGCTCTCACCTGTTCCCTCTCTCTCCTCTCAGGGGTTAAATTATGTTTGATTATGTTGGCACTGCTCATATCATTCAGAGTGCACACGCACACACTGCTCACTGCTGGGCCAAGCAGTATAGTGTTATTCTTTTCTTGGGGAGTTGATTATTGGCTTTTTTTCCATGCATTATCCTGCTCTCCCAGATTTTTTTTTAGCCTGCTGTTGGGGTCTCCTGCCTCCTCTCCATCCTGCTTTTTCTCGCTGGCATTGTTGACCCTTTCATTTTCAAAACTTGTGCCTGCCAGTCCTAGAAAGTCTCTGAGTTGTTTCTTTTCTTAGAATGGCCAGCTGTGGAGAGAGCCAGCGTATAGGACACAGTCGTTACAAGGAAGAAGTATTTAAAATGGAAATAATTACACACGTTACTAAATCAGGGTACCATTTCTGTGTCCTGGTGATCCGTTCTCTATTCTCATTCTCTCTCTGCTTCCAGTCTGGAGGAGGACCCCTGTCTTCATTTATGGTACATCTTTCCAGAGCTACCAACAGTAATAGTCACCACATGAGCACAGGTCTTCATGGTTAAAAGACCTTACTAAGTGTAAACTTTAAACTGAAAAGTAGCCAAAAGCATTGATAATGAAAGCCTCAATGCCATTGGTCAGATATTACCTGCTTTGTAAGATGTCAGTTACAAAGTATGCAAGACATACAGCTGTTGGTATCATTTTTTGTTTTGTTTGCTAAGGTGTTTATGGGACAAATAGGATTTGCCAGAACTTATATTTACACTCTACAGCTAGTTTATCTTTGGGTAAGATATGAGCAAACCTGTTTTTTATTTTGTTTTATGAAAAGTTCATAGATTTCATCTTCATTTTTAAAACTGAAGTCTCTCTCTCTCTGTCTCTCTCTCTCTCTCTCTCTCTCTCTCTCTCTCTCTCTCTGTGTGTGTGTGTGTGTGTGTGTGTATGTATGTAGAAAGACTTTCTCTGTAGCCCAGGCTGATCTAGGACTAACCATATAGCTCAGCTTGTCCTTGAACTCATGGCAGTCCTACCTCAGCCTTCTTAATACTGAGATTACAGACATGACCAACATGCTTGACATGGCCATGTTTTTGTTACTGGGATGTGCATGTTTGAAGGGTGTTCTAAATTGATCATTATTGATTTGAAAGAGTCAGCTCTTACAGTGAAAGAGCTGTGTCATCTGTTACCAGCACTTCTGCATTTGTTTACTTGAAAGACATTTTATTTAGGTCTCTAGATGATGTCTCTTTTTTTCTTCTGTTGAAGTTAAATTCTTTTTTCATACAGTATATCCTGATAACAGTTTTTCCTCCCTCTACTCCTCCCAGTTCTTTTCCACCTCCTCTTTCCTCCAATCCACTCCCTTTCTGTCTCTCATTAGAAAAGAACAGGCTTCTAAGAGATAACAACCAAACAACAAAATAAACTATAATAGGATAAAGCCAAACCTGTCACATCAAGGCCAGACAAGGCAACCAACAGAAACAAACAAACAAACAAACAAACAAAAAGAGTCCTGAGTGCAGGCATAAGAATCAGAGATGCACTGTGCTTACACTCGGGAGTCTCATGAAAATACTAAGATGAAAGCCATTATATATATATATATATATATATATATATATATATATATATATATATATATATATATTATATATATTTACATATATATTTTTATATATAATATATATTTATATTTTATATATTTTATATATTTTATATATTTATATTATATTTATATATATATATATATTTTTTTTTTTTTTACACAGAGGACCTGGTGTAGACCCATATTGTCCCTATGCTTGCTGCTTTAGTTTTTCTGAGGTCATGTGAGCCTTGCTCAAGAGGTCCTTGGTCTCCTGTCATCATCCATCCCTCTGGCTTTACACTCCTTCTGCATCCACTTTTGTGTTGTTCCCTGAGCTCTGAGATGACAGATTTGATGGAAACATCCCATTTAGGATTGTATAAACCAGATCTTAAACTTTCTGTACTTGGGACTCATTTTCAAGAAATTTTTACGTGACCCCAGATATTTAGGCACATGGCATAACATAAGTATGCATAGCAAGAATTTACTGAAAATAAATCAGGTTTATTTTAAAAAAACAGTTTGTTAGTATGCATATAAAACAAATTTTCATAGTGATGAGATGGATATGCCTTTTTCCTTATGTCAAGAATTGAATCTTGTCTGAAACAAAATATATTCAATATTTCTGGAATTGATTTTTTTAAATTGCCAATGCTGGGAATACCACTTTGCATAAGCATGTAATACAAAGAGCAGGAATATGTCTCATACCATTTTGGAAATTGCTAGAAACTTATTTTTTAAACCCCAAGCCACAGTTAATGATGTTTTTTATGAAACTCAAGTCAGCAACTCAGCAGTTTTAAAATCAAACAGCACAATTATGACATACTAGTTTGATAAGAACATGCGAAGGGATGTTTCTTTAAGAGCAGAGAGCTTTGTAGGAAGCTGGTAAGCATATGGTGGTGACCACTTCGAGCCAAGTGTCTTGAGCAGCAATTCTTACGTGTTTGATTTTGAATGAACTGATGATCGTTGTCTGCTCAGATACCTTTGACTGAATTGCAGACTATTTCACAACCCCACATGGGGCCACAGCCCACAGCTCAAGAATCTGTACTGTAAACATGTCATGGAGGGAGATACCAGGGACAACACAGATTTGGGTGCTAAGGCTGAGATAATTGACAGACTATGCTCCTTTTACCTCAGCACTGGCCTCTTGAGGAAGCCCAATTTAGAATTTTGTGGGTTGTTTTGTTTTTTTTTTTAAGATTTATTTATTATTTATACAATACTCTTCCTGCATATATGCCTACACACCAGAAGAGGGCCCCAGATCTCACTATAGGTGGTTGTGAACAAAGATGTGGTTTCTGGGAATTGAACTCAGGACCTTTGGAAGAGCAGCCAGTGCTCTTAATCACTGAGCCATCTCTCCAGCCCAAATTTAGAATTTTGTAAACACTGCCTTTCACATCTGTCTCTACATTGGCCCTCCCCATAGCACCTAGTCCTAAACCCTGATCCTCCTCCAGGTACTGTGCTAATCTGTGTTTTGTTGTGCATTTCTGAAGGCCTTTTTATACTATTTTATTGTGGGGTTTTTAAGGCTCATTCTCCCTTCTTCTCCCCAGTGCATCCCAACACCCCAACACCAGGTAGGAAAGACAGATTAGTGGGGAGAAGGGGTGAAGTTCTCTTTAGCTACTTCCTGGTGGTTAGGGTTGTCTGGTTCCTTGTGGAAAGTCCAATCTTCATTGCAAGATATCTCCAATTTTTCATCAAACTGAATCAACAGCAATCAGGAGCAGCAGGGGGAAGTACCAGCAGCCTTCTTCTTTCTCAGAACTCCCCAACACACTCTGGGCTGTGGCATTTAGTCCCTCTCCAGAGACCTCAGAGTTAAACTATCTGCATTGGGCAAAGAGCCCCTCTCAGAGCACACATGAGGCAGACACTTTGCTGCTGTGGATAATCTGAATCAGTCCCATATACCACATCTGGGATCAAAACAAGAACATGTTTACATACACAACACGTTTCCTTCTGTCAGTAGTTAAAAGGCAGTCTTCAGTTTTCTCTTTCCTTCCTGGATCCTACTGGTGTATTTCTGGCTGCGTCTTCTCCTTCATTTCTTGTGTTATAAATGCGACATCTGCCTTTCCCTCTCTGAGGATGCTAATTTCAGTATTTTTTTGCAAGGTAGTATTATTGCTGTTTGGGTTTGGCCTATGACTTCCGTCCCTTCCTTACCCCCGACTCCTGTTTTCAACATTGTCTCTGAATTGGCCAGCTTTCCTGTTTTGTCTGTTTGCTGCCCACCCTTTCATAATCTGAAGAACTAAAACTCCAGGAGACAGCTCAGTGTACTTCCAACTTGGAATCTTTGTCATGTGGCTGCATTAGAACTATGTGGTGCTCTGATTTCCTTTCAGGAGGTAGAGCTTGGCTGCTGCCAGTCTGGGGTAAGAAGAGGCTACCAGGAAGTATGCATGCTTTCCTTTGCTTCATCCCCATCAGCCACGTGATTTATCTCCACCCATCATTATGGCTCCTATCTCCAAATCTGGAATGTCTGCGCTAGTCTCCTGGTAGTGTGTGCTTAGCTGCCTCAAGTAAGGGATCCAGCTCTTCCCTATGGCCAGAGATCAAGGGCGACTCCCCTCTTGCCATCCTCTAACCAGTAAGTTAGTGTGTTTATGTGTTAGAGTGAAAGATTTAGGAGTAAAGGGGAACTTCTAAAAGGCCCCTTTTATTTTCTACTCAGAAAAATACTGTGTAATAATTAGAGCATTTATGTTGGTTGCTCAACAACCCCCCCCATTCCATTCTCCTTTCTTTTGGTTAATACAATTAAGTGGTTCCTTTCATTCCCTATAGACATATGTCCAATGTGAGATTGCTGAATCTTACAGTAGGAAGAGACTGACGTGAGTGACTGCTGACCCTCCAGAATGTATATCTAAGCTTTGCTCTGAGATTCACATTTCAGGATGTCTGACTTTTGTATGAAGGTGGAGCACATTACAAGTATGCACAGAGCAGCTGATGGCAGTGCTTGAGCTGCAACTGTCTGGTAGCTGAGCATCGGCCATGTGCCTTTCTCTCTTTCAGAGCGTTACCCTCTGAATGCCAGATGCTCCTCTTTTCAGCGACCTTTGAGGACTCTGTGTGGCAGTTTGCTGAACGAATCATCCCTGACCCCAATGTTATCAAGTTACGAAAAGAGGAGCTGACCCTGAACAACATCCGGCAGTATTATGTGCTGTGTGAGAACAGGAAAGACAAATACCAAGCCCTGTGTAACATCTACGGTGGCATCACCATTGGCCAGGCCATCATCTTCTGCCAGGTAAGCCTGATGCCTGTATCTTTGCCATGGGCAGATGTTCATACAAGTGGAAGGGGAGACTATACTGTTAATAAATGCCTTCTAGCTAGGCACTGTGTTCAGCTAAATCCTCAGACAGCTCGGAATAGACTCTTCAGTTCAGGGGTAAAACTTAGAAAGGTTGGATGATGGGATAGGACCTTAGGTGTGACGTTAAATAAAGGTCCCTCTTAGAGGCCCTGCTCCTATCTTAAGGTTTCCTGTAGCTTTTCCAAGTCTGTGATGTTATTTTCTACTGATATCCCACTATATTTTATGTAGCGTCAGGGGGTATTGTGTTTTGCTTTTTGCTCACACTTTTCATACTCATATGCTTTATTTTTATTCCTACCGTGTGAACATGTTAAGCCTTAGGAGTGGGGACTTGAGACATATCCTCTACACTAGCCTGACATCTGCTGGCATGTACAGAGAACCAAAGTCCTTTGTAGAGTGAAAACAAGGTCATGGCTATCTCCCAGGATAGCCAGGTAAACTGGGCAAGATACTTAGCTTTAGAAATGTTTTGGGTTTTTTTGTTTGTTTGCTTGCTTTGTTTTGATTTTTGGCCACTTAACAAAAATGATGATGAAGTGGAGGAGGAGGAGAAAGAATAAATTGGGTAGCTATTTTATTGTGAACAAAAAGATGTTAGTCAGATGGCTCCTGCAAAGAAAGAACTCTTGCAGTGTTGTTGGTTTGGTTCGTCATCAGTTTGTGGAAGAGAAGGCCAAAGCTTGGCTACGTTAAGAAAACATGATTTAGAATTGCAGTCAGAGAATGTCATGCCATATTCTAAGGCGACTTCTTGGTAGGCTGAGGGAGGAAAGAAGCAGAATTCCTCTGCAGCATTTGCCTTTGCACCCATGAGCACAACAGGACAGCCAATCTGTTTTGACCACTGCTTTTCTCTCTCTCATAGACGCGTCGAAACGCCAAGTGGCTGACTGTGGAGATGATGCAGGATGGCCATCAAGTATCCTTGCTAAGTGGGGAACTCACAGTGGAACAGCGAGCATCCATCATTCAGAGGTTTCGAGATGGCAAAGAGAAGGTTCTTATAACGACCAATGTCTGTGCGCGAGGTAAGTAAGAGTTGGATGTTACCCATGAGATTTATGCATGACTTGCAATTTAGAGGTTGACTGACATGCACAGTCATGGAAACATCTCTGTAATCAAAATCAGACCCTGCCGCCTCCCAACCTCGCCTTCTCTGTCTCTGCACTCAGTCTCCTCCCACCATGGCCTCTGGCAGCTGCTGCTAAGATTTCAGTGTGAATTTTTGTCTCTCCGGACTGCCACCTAAGTTCAGTCATGCACTGTAGCCTTTGTATCTGGCTTCTTCCACCTAATATGATGCTGAATTTCTCCAGCTTTGTTTGCTACGTGGAACAGTAGTTTGTTCCTTGTCATTGGGAATAGCATTCCATTGACAGTTCAGTCATTTACCGGTTGGGTGTTTGAATTGCTTGCTTTAGGGGTTACTGTGAATGCATCTATAATAAAAACTCACATGTAGGTCCTTGTATCCACATATGTTTTCATTTCACCTTGGTACATACCTAGCAGGCGGCTTTCTAAGAAACTGCACAGCTCTTCCACTTCTCAGCCATCCTGCACTCCCATCAGCAAGGGCCTCTTCCACCAGCAGGGTGCACTCCTACAGCGTTTGTTCAATGTCCTTGTCATTCACTGATCTTGTCAGCTTCTTGTTTGAACCGTTCAGATGCACATGTACAGTATCTCCACGTGATTTCAATTCCACTAACAACTAATAATGCCAGCATTATTAGTATCTCAGGTATATCTCAGTTTTAAATCTGCAGTTGCAAGGTGGGGAGTTATTAAGAAAGGGAAATGCCTATTGGTTCATCCTTCCCACATTTTTGCTTGGACCATGTTCTCTAGGTCATTCTGCTTTTTGCTGACACTTTTCATGCTCACATGCTTTATTTAACACATAGAATGAAGGGCTTGCTATATGTTAGGAGCCTTTGTCTTTGGAAAGCTTATTCTGCCTGAGAAAGGGTGAAACCCCTGACCCTTGGGAACTGTTCTTGCCTGGGGCTACCCAAAGGGACTTTGTGGTATCCAGATGGTGGCCATTAACTGTATCCACTCTTGAGTACTTGAAACACCATAACATAACTGAGGTACTGCATTTTTCATTTGACTAGTTTAAATGTGAATGGCCTTATAAAATTTCATGATTTTCTTTCTGGACAGAACAACCTCTGGCCCTGGTGGGGGGGGGGGGGAAGAGTGGAAGCTGTGCAGGATGCTCGAGGATGAAGGCTCAGAGCACAGAGGGCAAGGTCCTGGTATAGACAGCCTGTCAGTGTGGGGATGGAAGGCCCGGAAAGTGTGTGGAAGTGTCCTAGGCAGCACTGGGGTTGATAGGTATTAAAGGAAGGAAAACTGTTCAGCTTCTTTTTTTTATGCCCTGTGCTTGCTAGGTGGGCACTCTACCACTGAGCCCAGAGAACAGTTCAATTGGTAGGACAATGGCTAGCCCTTGTAACTGGAATTGAACATGAAGAGGAGGTGAGCCCACAGGTGGCTTTGAGGGCTTGAGAAATTTGTATTCTAGGCTCTGAGCACAAGTGCCCACCCTGGCTGTGGTGACCATTCTATGAGACGTTAGGGGCGTGAGAGAAGAGATAGAAGAAAAAGCATTCCAAAAGTTGTAAAGGTTGAGGCAAGAGATTTAAAAAAAAAAAAAAAGAAAGAAAGAAAGACATGATGAGAGCATGGACACGGGATGGAGTGGAGCAGCATCCCGTAATGGGTAAGAAGACCCTAGACCAGCAAGCCTGCACAGAAGAGGGAGGAGCTTGGCCTTTTAGGCTTGGTGAGGGCCTCTCTCTCTCCCTTCCCCACTCACGTACATGCTTTGTAGCATGCAGAATTAACCTTCATTATCGGTATTACCAGCACCACAGACATCACAGCATACAAGCTCACCTATTTTATGACATAAAGCCAGTTTTGCTTTCCAAATTTTTTCTATAGTGGGAATTACTTTGGCAAACACAGTTCTTGGTGGATTTGTCCTGGAGAAAAATATTGCAAGACCCTACAGTATCTTTCTTCTCCTAGGAATTGATGTGAAGCAGGTTACCATTGTTGTGAACTTTGACCTTCCTGTAAACCAGTCAGAAGAGCCAGACTATGAGACCTACCTCCACCGTATAGGACGAACGGGACGCTTTGGGAAAAAAGGTCTCGCCTTTAACATGATTGAGGTGGATAAGCTGCCCCTGCTTATGAAAATACAGGACCACTTCAGTAAGTAGCATGTTTCACATTCACAGTAGGAGCCATCACCTTGCTCTTACAGACGATGTGGGCAGTGATGGATTGTGGGAAGCAGACGCCATGAGGGAAGCGCTTTTAATTCACAGGATGAGAGTCATAATACAGGCCAAGTAGTTACACAATTTCCTTATGCTTGTTAAACAGAAGTTTAAGTGGCAAGTAGAAATCACATGAACTCATTCTACAATCTGTAGAATTTTATGCCGTAGAGTGATAGAACAAAGTAATAATGCCCTTTAGGATTTATTTGTCTCAACTTCCTGTTTTATTTATAATTTCCCTCTTGTCTCACTGTCTCAGATAGGACAGGCCTGAGTACTGAGCTCTACAAACCTTTTTCAGGCCCACACCTAAACAAGCAGGCTCAGCTAGCCTGCTGGGACCCCAAACTGGCAGAACACACTCATGGGCACCTCAAGGGTTACATCACCTGCACATGCCAAAAGTTACATGTAGTGGCACATACTTTAAATGCAGAGACAGGAGGATCTCTGAGTTCAAGAACAGGCAGAACTACATAGTGAGACTCTGTATTGAAAATAAACAAAAAATTACCCCAAGCCCAAGAGAGCACTGACATGGGCAGAGAGCATGGCTAAATGGCATTAAGCTCTGTCTTCTTGCATGGAACTTTACTGGAAGCAGTGCGCACACCCCTCAGGAAGTGACTCGAAGAACATTTGGAGGGGAATGTGCAAAGGTCTTCAGGCAGACTGCTGCACGTCCCACTGACCCTGCCAAGAACTGCTCAGGTAACCCACCTTGAGCTTCCTGGAGTGGCAGGGTCAGAAGCACCCATGAAGACCATTTCTGCTGTGTGGACCTCGTGGGAAATCACCATGGCGAATAGGCTTGGTCCTCCCTGGCTTTTCTCACTGAGCCTGTTTTTGCTCAAGGTATCCAGATATTCACATTCTGGACCCAGTCAGTTTCCTGCTATTTTAGCTTATGTGGGTTGGCTCTTTGGTGAGTGTCTATTCCTTATCTTGGGCTTCCTATACAAAATGTCACCGAAACTTTTTTTTTTTTTTTCTTTGAGACAAGGTTTCTCTGTATGGCCTTGGCTCTCCTGGAGCTCACTCTGTAGATCAGGCTGGCTTCAAACTCAACAGAGATTGACTGCCTCTGCTTCCTCAGTGCCACCACACCCTGCTTCGGGTGTGCAGGTTCAGCAGTGTCACTGACTTCAGAAATGTATCACTGCTGGAGTGAACTTCCATTTAGGATCTAGGATGAAACTGGTTTCTTTTTCTCTCCTTCTTTCAGATAGCAATATTAAGCAACTCGACCCAGAAGATATGGATGAGATTGAAAAGATCGAATATTGAAGAGAGGCCTTTGATGTCTGTGGGCTACCCTAGTTTATGTGAGAATGTTCCAGTAGGGCTTGAAGATAATTTTCTATGTTGAGGCTCTGTCAAGGTGACACTGTCATAGATGAGAAAATAAATGCCATGGTACCCTTTATTCTAAGACCTGAGGTCTTTTTGAAACCAAATTGATTTGAAGCATGTGACCCTTTTAAATGAGAAGGCAAGATTCCTTCTTCTAACCTGTTCTACCGGTAAAAATGTTGCCTGGGCTTCTTAGATGGCTTTCTATTTAGTTTATACGCTGTGTAGATCATGCCAGTTTATGAGCCTGGCCACAAGGGGGCAGCAGAACATCACCAATTTTAGAATTTGCACTAGTAGTACAGATAAGAAACTCCACCCATTTTCAAGCTTCACTCACAGGCTGCCCTTTCTGCATATTAGTTTCCCCATTCCCACCCCTTGTCCTCAGGTGAACATACACTTTGAAACTTTCATGAGAGAGAGAATATGAGAGAACATTTTGCTTTTAATATTCCAGGCGACACCCAGAACTTCTGAATATTTCCCTCTTCTGCTGTTACTGTCTTCAGATTAGAAAAGATTTATTCTATCAGGTTATCTCATAGTCTTTAAAAATGTGGCTTTATTCTAGATATTTTCAGAAAGTAAGCAATGAAGGTTCTAAAAAAAAAAAAACAAGGTAGGACCTAGAGCAACATATCAGTGGGTACAGCTCTAGCTGTACTGTCTGTGTGAGTGGGGGGTTCTGAATTCACAGCCCCAGCCCCAGTGGAAAGGCCGGGTCTAGTAGAGCAAGTCTGCACAGAGCTGGGAGCCAGAGACATAGATCTAGGGAGCTCACAGGCCAAGTCAGTCTAACGGAAATGGCGATATCCGAGGTCAGTGAGAGACGCAGTTCCAGAAAACAAGGTGGGAAGAGTGACATCTGTCCTTCACATGCCCACAACCATCAGCACTCACACACATGTGCACACCCCCCCACGCACACGCACCCAGGCGTGCCTGTACGCCTGCATGCCTGCATACCCAGAGCACGCACGTGTACACATGCGTCCCTCACATGCATGCACTACATGAATCCACCAAAAACTGAAACAAATCCAAAACACGCCCAGAAGCAGCATGTCAGGGAGTCAAAGAGTTTGTTTATAAAGGTGTCATGGTAGCTGGACATGGTGGTGCATACCTGTAATCCAGTACTTAGGAAGGATTCCCACAAGTCTGAGGCCAGCCTAGTCAACACAGCAAGACCCTGGCCAGAATTGAAAAAGAAAGAAAGAAAGAAAGAAAGAAAGAAAGAAAGAAAGAAAGGAAGGAAGGAAGGAAGGAAGGAAGGAAGGAAGGAAGGAAGGAAG